AACAAACTAGGAATCTAGCAGTATCTGCTCAGATTAAAAACAATGTTCAAACTGCCCGTCTAAGAGCAGTATTGGCAGCTTAATTGGAGCATGCGGCATAGCTAGTTTGTATAAAATAGGAGTGCATTATCGTCACTCACTTTTAATGTAGCCATTGGAGGCTAAAAGTGCCAATGAAAGAAGCTCCATCTTATAAGATGTGCTTTCTGGATGGATCAGAGTGGAGTATCTTATGAGGAATGATGCAGGTCAAACATCCTTGACTTAATTACTAATTGCATGTAACATGAATGGAGTTCTAGGTTTCTCTCTGTGATGTATTTCTAACATTTCTTTGCACATGTTGTAGATGACTTTACAGGAATATAACATGATTCACGACGGCGAAGACGATGAAGAGTTTTTACAGCAATACAGGAAGCAGCGAATGGAGGAGATGAGGCAGCAGCTGCATAGTGGGCAGCAGTTTAAGCAGGTTTTTGAGATCACCAGTGGAGAAGAGTTTTTGGACACAGTTGATAAAGAGCACAAGAATACGTTGATCATGATCCACATCTATGAAGATGACATCCCTGGCTCTGAATCTGTGAATGGCTGCATGATGTGTCTTGCTGCTGAGTACCCAACAGTCAAATTTTGTCGAGTAAAAAGTTCCCTGATTGGTGCCAGCACTCGCTTTACTAATAATGCTCTGCCTGCTTTGCTCATGTATAAGGGCGGGGAGCTAATTGGCAACTTCGTGCGAATCACCGACCAGCTTGGAGAAGATTTTTTTGCTGTGGACCTAGAGGCTTTTTTACAGGAGTGTGGTCTGCTCCCAGAGAAGGATCTGCTGCTGCTGACTTCCATATGTAACCCATCTGCATGTTACAGTGAAGACAGTGATTTAGAGATAGACTGAAAAAGGGGAATGAAGGGTTGAGTAAGCTGGGGTTGGCCCGTGGGGTCTCTTGTCAGTGTAGATTGTTCATTTGTTCTTTTCTGTGTCTTTTGTATATTTTCCCTCCTTCCCATGCACTTTGGCATTTTGCCCATTAGCACTATAAGAGCCTTTATTATATGTAATGAATTCTTAACGTTTGTTTAATTACTTCAATAAAATGGAAACTACAACTGTCTTGGACGTCGTAAAATGTTTTTGAAGTGTATGCATGTGGAACACATCTTAAATTGATTTCCAGGAACTCTTGTTACACACAGGTAGGACTGAGACACCTCATCTTTTGAATTGTATAGAATGCTAGAAGATGTACCTGGCGTTTCTCAGGTCCTTAGCTCAATATTTGTTCTTAATTGAAATCATTGCTCTGGGTGGGACGGGTTGAGAGCTGAATATGCAGGCTGTCCTAGGGAGAGGACTACCCTAGCCCCTTCTCACTGCAGCAGCTTGGGGCCAGGTGAGAAGCACCTCTCCATGGCTGCTGCAGGCACAGCTGAGGGAGGGATGCATGTCCCCTACCTGGGCCAGGTCTAGGTTTGTCTGCCCCCTGTGCTCCCCAGCCAGGGTGAGGAATGCAGCAAAGTGTGGGAATGTAGCCTCTGCTCATTCAGCCAGACTTTTTTGTGTGGAGGTGTTCCAATGGAGAAGATGGATTTTTTTTTTAAAGTGGACACCTACACAAAAGGAATAAGATTTGAGACCATGAGCTTCTACGACAGTCCATTAGAAGAACAGTTTTCATCATTGCTAACCTGAAGCTGGATTCATACCAGTAAATCAAAAGTGAAAGACCCTGTATCCCATTCTTTGTCTCTTACATGTTCCATTTGTCAAGTTATATAGTTTTTGACAGACAATGAGGAGTATTTCCCTTGCTTGCTAAGTAGCAGAATTCACCACTCCACCCTAAAAGTTATTCTTCAGTGTTGGATGGAGTCTTCAATGTTTACCCCTACATTCGGTATAAATGTGAGAATCTTTTTTCATTCAGAACTCTCTAGTCTAAATGATGCTGCCCGGAGCCTTTTAAAATCTTGGATCCATAGGTTGGGTGATGGTTACTTGAGCAGAGGGCCAGCGTTAACAGCAATCCATCGCAAATAGCTAACGGAAGAGGGTGCTGAATGATATCCCAGTGACGATAGCTGACAAAATACAGACTGAAGAGAGTTCTGCTATTAACTTTCATGAAACCAGGATTTCACTCGCTGTCTGTAAAACTTCCTCAGAACTGTGTTAAATCAGTGCTAAATTCTGTTCCCTTTCAGAGTTATTCCTATTGCAACCCTAGCAGAAAGGTGTAAGTTACATTGGAATATTGTTGAGCTCTATCCCTGCATTTGAAGGATGTACACATAAATAGACCAAGTGGATAAGGAAATAGCTTTTATTGGACTTCCGTTGGTGAAAGTGACAAGTTTTCAAGCTTGCACAAAACTCTCAGTACCTTTCCTAGTCCTAAAGAAGAGCTCTCTCTGAACTGGAAAGCTCTTTTATTGGGCCAGCCTCTTTTGGTGAGAGACAAGGTATCAAGTACTGTGTATGAAAAGAAGATGCACTCTCTGCTCCCCAAAGCTTACAAAAGAAGTTCACAGATACCTACATTCTGTGCTACATCTACGCCTGTTGTGATTTCATGTAACCTAGAGGTGCAGGAAGAAGGTGGGACAGAATTTGGTCCTACAAATGACTGGCAATGTTATGGAAAACCTTTGAGCCAATAAATAAAGCAACTTTATGCAAATATTAATGGAGGCACCTTCCCACCAATTTGAAGTGTGTTGCCTAATTTCTACATTGAAAGTTGAGGTGAAACAAAAGCTTTTTCCTCATGTCAGTCATTTTGTTTTTACTCTTGTAACAGCTGTTGGGAGCCCTTCTTTGTACTCAACATCATTAGAATTCAATAAAGCAGCAAAAAAAATCATCCATCTTTTTATTAAAAGTGACAAAAGGCTTAAAAATCATCCCTGCTGTTGCCTCAGTTACCCAGTAATGTGGGCCTGAAATTTACCATCTTCCCAAAAAAACCCTCAGATCAGGTCCCCATTTAATGCTACACGAAAGAAACCTCCAGAAATGATTAGCTCCATTGGTTCATTAGCGATCATTGTTACTGAATGCTTCTGCTTTATGTTATGGGTCTTGGCTCTTGCATTTCTTTTAAAGTGTGTATTATGAAGGTTTAATTTTTGGTGATTACCTTTTTGTCTGTGCTGTGCTGAGCACACTTTATACGTTAGATTACAGCATTATGATTTACAGACATCCATTCTCTTTCTCACCCTAAAGGCTTTTGGATTCATGGCAGTAAGGGTACATCTAAACTACATCCTTCTTTTGAAAGAGGGATGTAAATTAGACATTTCAAAATTGCAAATGAAGCCGGGATTTGAATTTCCCATGCTTCATTTGCATAATTGGGTCACAGCGTTCTTTTGAAAAATGCTATTTGGAAAGTGAAACCGCGGTCTAGCTGCGGTTCTTTCGAAAAGAAAAGCCTTTTTCGAAAGATCCTGTACTCCTCAAAAAATGAGGTTTACATGATCTTTCGAAAAAGGCTTTTCTTTTTGAAAGAACCGCATCTTACATCTAGACCGCAGTTTCACTTTCCAAATAGTGTTTTTCGAAAGAACGCTGTGACACGATTATGCTAATAAAGTGTGGGAAATTCAAATCCCGGCTTCATTTGCAATTTCAATATGTCTAATTTACATCCCTCTTTCGAAAGAGAATGTAGTCTAGACATAGCCAAAGACACTATGGTTTGACTAGCGTGGGGATGCACAGAATACCAATGCATTTAAAAGTCTTTAAACTAGTTCTAAAACAGTGTGTAAAATGTCACATGAACAAATTAAAAAAAAAATACACCATGCACAACGATGCAAAGATTTTATTGGAATGACTTCCATACAGGGGCAGCCTGTCCATATAGGCAAACTAGGCTGTTGCCTAAGGCGCCAAGTTAAATGGGGCGCCAAATGGTGGCGCAATATCGAGGGGTTTGGAGGTAGGGGGTGCTGATTGCATTGTTCGCCTAGGGCGCCAGTTGCTGGCAGCTAGTCTAGGGCTGCCCCTGCTTCCGTATGACTGCAGTACACTGGAGCAAAATAGCCAACCCAAAGAGGTGTATAAGAGTGTGTACTTTCTTTATATACAATTATTGAGTTAAATATGCCCTTTATGTAATGAATCTTTTATAACACCCGACCATTTATGGGAAGTTTTCAGAGCAGAGAGAGGTAACTAATGGGGTCTCTCAAGGGTCTGTCCTGGTACCAGTCCTATTCAACTTATTTATAAATGATCTGGAGAAAGGGGTAAACAGTGAGGTGGCAAAATTTGCAAATAACAAACTGCTCGAGCTAGTTATGACCAAAGCAGACTGTGAAGAACTTCAAAAAGATCTTACCAAACTAAGTGGCTGGGCAACAAAATGGCAAATGAAATTTAATGTTGATAAATGTAAAGTAATGAACATTGGAAAAAATAATCCCAACTATGCATACAATATAATGGCGGCTAATTTAGCTACAACTACTCAAGACAGAGATCTTGGAGTCATTATGGATAGTTCTCTGAAAACATCCACTCAGTGGGCAGCAGCAATCAAAAAAGCAAATAGAAAGTTAGGAAATCATTTTAAAAGGGATAGAGAATAAGACAGAGAATCTCTTATTGCCTCTATATAAAACCATGGTACGCCCCCATCTTGAATTCTGTGTAAAGATACGGTTGCCTCATCTCAAAAAAGATATTGTCATTGGAAAAGGTTCAGAAAAGGGCAACAAAAATTATTAGGGGTTTGGAATGGGTCCTATATGAAGGGAAATGGAAAAAGATGGGGACTTTTCAGCTTAGAAAAGAGGAGACATGGATATGATAGAGGTCTGTAAAATCGTGACTGGTGTGGAAAAAGTGAATAAGGAAAAGTTATTTACTTGTTCCCATAACATAAGAACTAGGGGTCACCAGATGAAATTAATAGGCAGCAGGTTTAAAACAAAAGGAAGTTTTACTTCCCTCAGTGCACAGTCAACCTGTGGAACTCCTTGCCAGAGGATGTTGTGAAGACCAGGACTTGAACAGGGTTAAAAAAGAATAGATAAATCCACAGAGATTGGATCCATCAATGGCTATTAGCCAGGATGGGTATGAATGGTGTCCCTAGTGTGGAAATGGATGACAGGAGAGGGATCACTTGAGGATTACCTGTTGTGTTCCCTTCTTCTGGGGCACCCAGCATTGGCCAATCTTGGCAGGCAGAGCCCTGGCTTAGTTGACCTTTGGTCTGACCCAGTCTGGCCGTTTTAATGTTCATTTTCTTATTCTTTCTCTCCCTGTCTTGTTTTTGATCTTTGGTTACCATTTTGTGGAAAAAGTAGACTAATTTGTGATGACACCCTCTCATTTGGATTCTAAACACTTGTTCTGTATAATAGTTTTTAAGGTGGCTTAATTTGTACCATGTGACCGAGGAATGATACTTACCCTTCACCAGTGTCTTTATATATTTCTAATAGTACGCTGTGGATGTTAGAGAGGAAAAATAAGAGTTAATATTTCTCATTCAGTTATGTTAAAAGGGAGAGTTATAAACAGAAAAAAATGCAATTGAAATATGAACAGGCTTTAATGCAGCTAACTTAAGAAAATTAATAAGCACAGAATAGGCATTTTAAGAGTTCCAAGCTGAGACTTTCTGTGTATCAGAAATGCAAACAAAGAACATGAAAGTTAGGTAACATGAAACCACTGAGTTATTAGTATCAGCATTTTTAAGAAAAAAATCAAAGTGACTATAATTTATATTCAGGCTGATATCCTATGAAGTCTGCAATGCAGACAGCATGTACATTAGCATCATAATAAAACCTGGCTCCCGGGAGGGGGTTGGCACTATTTGAATATCTTTGAAATGTTGCACATTCAGCCAGTGCTCTTTTCCTTCTTGCAGTGACATTGTAGTAGGATCAAAACAATCTCGTGCTGCCCTGGGTGATGGAAGCCTGCAGAATGATGACCTCTAGGTTTTTAATTTACAGTCCTCAAAAGTATGTGCTTAGATGCTTTTTGGTACCAGTAGCAAGACAAGGTCCCAGCCTTGAGGAGCTGACAGTCTAATGACTCATAATAGGAAGAAGGTTGGAATAGGGGTGGGAGAGGAGGATGCGTATTATGCTATAGTGTCTCTCCTGTCTGAAAGCCAGTCCAGTGCAACCCAGGGAATGAAGGAGCTGGCCTACTGCTAACACCATTTGGGAAGATTTAAGAGAGATCCTGTAGTAGCAGTTCTGCTGTATTGAGCTGGATTTTCCAAATTGGCCACTTAGGAAACAAACATTAATTTGGGCAATTTAAGTTTTAACATGCTAATGGAGGGAGCATCTTGACCAGCAAGCACATGTTAAAACCAAACCTTGCTTCATCTACCTTAATATTCTATCCTTAACTAACCGGTTGCAGCGCATTGCTTTCCCAGGCAAAGGTGGCCATAGACTACAGATGCAAAATCAATTCATGCACACACACACACACACACGGACAAAATCGGCACTGCAGGTGTAAAGCTGGCTGGTGAATGACCCATTTCCCTGCACAGCTTCTCAAGATTTCAAACTTTTTCATTCCACACTGGAATCATGACAGAAATGTCTCTTTATTTCAGACCGAAATCATCAGGTTTTCAATGTGGGTCTTTCAGGAGAGTTCACCGCAAAGCTCAGGGACCTTACCGTCAGCTGAACTTGATACGTTTCTGCAATATGTTTGGTTACGATAAACCAGCATTTTGTCGATTAAACTCTTTTGTTGGAAATGTTCTGACTAGCTGTACTAACGTGCACAATTACCTGCTTTGCATTCACTCAGCCTTCTTTACGGAAACCTCATTGGACTGTTGTGAGATTTAGTTTGTCAAGGTCTTTGAGAGGCCAGATGCTAAAGAGGTGCAAATTAATAGTCACAGTTGTTAAATGCAAGTGGGTTTCCCACTTGCACCTTGTCCCTAGCCACCAGGACTTTGTGCTGCTGCAAGTGTCCATCCACCAAAGTGAGGAAAGAGTTAATCTTCCAGCCCAATCTCCCTGGTAGTTAAGCAACAGCTCACTGAGCTTCTGGCTGGAGGGCTTTCTGGTTGCTGGGTAAGCAGTGTAGACTCAGGTTGATGCTGCCTGCTATCCAGCAACCCACAGCCTGAGCCCACCCACCTTCCTCCTGCAGATCTGTTCAGCAGCTCAGCAACATGGATCCCAGACAGCAAACAGCAAGAGGGAGGGCACACAGGCAGCATGGGCTGTGAAATGGGACAGGTATGGACCTGTTGCTTTGCATCCCTGAGCCCTTTCACAGCTGTCTTCACTTCCCTGCCGAAGCAGCAAGGACCAGGAGTCCTGTTGCTTCTCCTAAGGAATCCGACCTAAGTTTATCTCCTGTGCTGTAAACTCTGTGGGAAGTCAGTGGTTGTGTTAATGTCTGCAAAGTGTGGTGTGAGCGTGTGCATTGTGATCTGGGAGAAGCGTGATCGTTCTAAGAAAAGGGTTATGCTCTGAGATCCATCTTTTGCAAAGCAGCGATCGTGTTAGAAGCGGAGAACCTTATTTTGAGTGTGGACAGGATTTTTCAGCTGCAAACTTGCCAGCATCTGAAAGCTACAAGCAAGGACAGACTCTCATTCCTGTGAGAGAGAAAGGGAGTGCCAGAGCTTTTGCAGCGGAGAACTTGAAAAGGTGGGAACTGCCAATCCTCTCTGTTTTGCAAGGCTATTTAGCACTTGCTGACTTTAAATAGTTTGAAGTCTCTCAGCTGCTTTGTTTAGCTGAAATGCAAGAGTAAAGAGATGCATAAGAGTGTGTGATCATAAGGCACAGTGTATAGGGTGTACCTCTTCCCCAATGAGATGCTAGCTAATGATAGGGAACAGCTGTAGGAATTGGAAAATGTTAAGAACGTCTTTGCTTCTCTGAATCCCTGTGATCACAGCCTGCTGCTCTTCTTTCCTGGGTTGTGCTTGCGCCTGCTCTCGAACCCAAAACCAAATGGCAGAATAAGCATTCAGCTCCAGACCATCTTTACAAGCTCCCTGACATACAGGAAGACTGCTGCTCAGGTTGGTCCTATATATCTCCATGTGGATATACGAGAAATGCCAGGGAAGGTTCCGATTTAAATATATTTGATGCAGGCATATATTGTGGGGTTTTTTAAATTCTGCATTTTTTGTCACGTTGCTGGAAAGAGAATCTCAGACAGTAAGTAGCCAGGTGTGGTGAAAAAGATCTTTTAGATTACTGAGCTCACCCCCTCTGAATCAGAGCCAGCTGATAAAAAGTGTCAGATACTTGAACCTAATCTTGGCTAGTTGCTGAGACCAATTTATGGCAAATCCTTTAGTGGTGCTTAAGAAAAGGTTAATTAAGGGAAGGAAGGAGCAGAATGGTTTGTGTGGGTCTCCTGTGGAACAGTGTGGCTTGTTTCACATTCCCATTGCTTTAGTCTTTCAAAAATGTGAAATTTTTTACCTCCTTTATCCATTGTGTTTTCACTTCACAATCATCCTGGTGCACGTGTTCTCAGTCTCCCTCTTCCAGTTTCGCTTCCTTTTTACAATATTTAGTTTTTCTTTTTCAAAGTGACACCAAATGCTTGGTCCTAGAGTGAAGATCTCCTGATGTTTCATTTGCAAGAGGCATTCAGAGAAGTAACATGATGGAAGTCTAGATAAAGCATAAAAACATGTTCACGCTTAGCAGCATTACCAACACTTCCATTCTGACCGGTGCCAAATCAGAGAATTTGGGGTCATTTAGAGCTAAATAACAGCACAAAACACTGAGAGCCAGGACTGGGGGCTGTAACAAACTTCATAGGACAGCAGAGAAATTTGGCCATACCCATAAGTGGACATCCCGCTAACTACAATCATGCTGGACCACGGATGTTGCCGACCAGAGAGTGATGGACTAGAGAGGTTCAACCTGTATTAGGAAATAGGGATGTCCATGAATAGCTTAGGCTTATCGGTTAATCTTGTCAACCACTTGCATTCCCCTCCCCCCACTGCCTTTGTATCAGCGGCAATGGGGAGGGGAAGCAGGAGCCGATGCTGGGGGGGTGGGGCTGGCTTAAAAGCTGGTTCCCCTGACAGTGGCTCGTGATGCCGCCTGGCCCACTCCACTGCTGCTTCTGCGGCTGCAGCAGGGAGGATGGGGCAAGGGAGGCTGCCGTGAAGCAGCCCCTGTCCACGGGGAGGCCGAGCATCCTGTGGAGCAGCTTCTGTCTGTGGGGAGCTCAGACCCCCCACGGACAGGGGCAGCTGCCACCTTGCACTGCTGCCTCTGATACAGTGCAGGGTGGCAGGGGGCTGGAGCACACTGGCTGCCGGCCCTGCCCCTGGGGACTATCAAATAGCTGAGTAACCAATAAGAATTCATGCATTTATTCGACTATTCTATTACCTGATATCTAACATCCCTGTTAAGAAATCCTTATGCCATTCTGAATGGTCAGATTTCTCTCCTTTCTTCCAGATGGGAAAGCTACCCACTTATTCTGGTCTGTTGCTCACACTGGCCCAGTTCGGTCTGTCTGGCTTCATGCATATTTCAGCTCATGGAGACGCTGGCATTAAACCTAAGCCCTCTACTGTGCAGCTGATCTTTCATCTTTGGAAAAAGGAAATTAAAAGGACTTTGAGAGTCGCAATCAGCAGGATTACCCATTGTAAATGCTTGCTTTAAGAAAGCAAAATAACTCAGGCAAGGCCAACCAGAATGTGGAAAGACCTAGTGCTGAACTTGGCTATACCAGTGTAAATACCTCGGTTGATGTTAGTGGCGTTACCATACTCTGGGTTTACTCTAGTCATGCAGAGTGGCCTATACGGAATCCAAACACACAACGAAACCCAACATGGCTGCTCACAGAAGGAAAGACAGGGAGATGGCTGAAGGATCCTAAAAGGGTCTAACTCAGACATCTGTAGTCACCAATCCATGTCCTGGCTCTAGGAACAAGACTGAAAAAGAAAGGATTAAATAGGCCCCCTGTGTAGTTTTGCTGGGGGCAGTGGGTGGAAATGGAGAGACGTGTTTCATAAAAGCCTAATATGGATACAAATGGGTTGTTTTTTATTAGTTTGGCTTTTCCTTTTAAAACACGGAATTCTGATTTTTGCAAACCCGCTGGTTTGTTAACAATTCAAGTGCAAGGCCTTGAGCTGAGGCCCGGGAATAGGCACGTGAACTAGAGTAAAACTCCCCTGACTCGTTTCACTGCTGGCAGCTGACTGATGTGCCCAACTTATACCGCACGACAGGCAGAAAGAAAATTTGATTTGCAAACCCCACTGTGGCGCAGTGGTCTTCAGCCAGAAGTGGCCAGTGAGGCTGGCAGGGCCTTCCCACTCCTGGCATGCGATGGGGCGTGGGCTGCGCCTGAGGCCTGCACGTCCACATAAGACACAGCATAAAAAGCAGCCCCAGGGCAGTCCCTGAATTTGTGACGTGTCACCCGTGTGGCTGTTGGCAAGGCAAAGTTGTGGTGCTCCTGCAGCTGGCAGGAGGGAACGGCAAAGCGCAGTTTCTCCGCACTGGTTCCTCCCATGAGAACAGATGTTGGAAACCGGTGACCTCCGACTGTGTTAGCAAGTGAATGCCCACTCTGCGTAGCCTGATTGTCATTGGCATGGCAATAAGCCTGAGTCCACCAATCTTGTGCTTGTGAACTCCTCTTTTCCCAGGGAAATGGGGGAGTAATTGATCATCCAGGGACATAATCCTCCTCCATTAGCCTTGTGAGTCATCACTGAGGCGATCCGTCAGTGACAGGCTGAGGCTGCCTCTTCCTGCATTTCCTTCTGTGTTTATCCTCTTTAAAGCCCTTTCTCCACCGCAGAGCACCCGCCCCACGCAGCCTGGCTGTAAATGGCTGCGTTTCATAAGTGGTGCTCACCAGGAGTTCAGTGACGTGGGGGCAGCTACGAGAAGGTTGTCCTCCGAAGTGCTGCAGCAGTACTGAGCCGGTATCCCCCGTACCAGAGGCTCCGGGTGCAGAGGCGGCATTTCACCGCACATGGCTGCGGAGGTTAGATCTAACCTGGCAGGCAGGGTCGCTACTGCTGCCTGGCTCTATCCCAGAGGTGGCTGCATTATTGTGATGGGTAAACTGAGTCTGTGCAAACAGTTGGCAGATCCGTCGGGGGGAGAGGGCGTGGTTGCGGGAGGCTGTCGGATAGCACGGTGCAGAGGACTTGTGGGCGGATGGACACTAGAGCGGTTTATGAGTGGAGGGACTCTATGCCGGCCTGTGTGGAAGGTCAGTTTGGGGGGTCTGTCCATGGAAAGGGCCACGCCTCCAGTATCCCATGTGACTCCTGCAAGCAGTGTGGAGTGTCTGGCAACTATTTTAGCCTCACCCCTGGGCTGGGAGGTGGCCCTTGGCCAGCACAGCCTCTCTGCATCATCCCCTTCCCCCGCAAATCGAGTGGAGGGACTCTATGCCGGCCTGTGTGGAAGGTCAGTTTGGGGGGTCTGTCCATGGAAAGGGCCACGCCTCCAGTATCCCATGTGACTCCTGCAAGCAGTGTGGAGTGTCTGGCAACTATTTTAGCCTCACCCCTGGGCTGGGAGGTGGCCCTTGGCCAGCACAGCCTCTCTGCATCATCCCCTTCCCCCGCAAATCCCAAATGCCCTGACATGGTGCCAGGGGAACTGAACCCAGTGAGTCTGGTGCCGGGGCCCATGTGTTCCAAGGCTGCAAGGCCAGCCCAGGGAGCAGCGTCTCCATCTGGGGAGCCCAGCACTGCCTGGCTTGCAGGCGTGTGCGTCCTGGTCCCGGTTCCTTGTTCAAAGGCCTGCAGGGCGCTGCAAGGGAGGGTTTTCTGGCCAGGACAGGGTGAATCTGGGCAGGTCTCTGCAATGTGCTTATGTGACCCACGGCAAGCAGAGGAAGGGTGCCCATCAGCATGGCGTCTGGGCACAGAGCGAGACATCGACATCTGCCAAGGGCAAGTGTGTAGAGTTGCCAGACGGTTCAGAAAAAATACCCAACAGCAACAACAACAAAACCACGCCAGGAAAAAGTTTGGGGGGGAAGCTCCCCTGCGGAACCTGGTAAGCACTAGTGTTGCCAGGCTGCCTCCGTATTAAAAAAAAATCTGAGAGTACCAGGCATTTCAGGTGTCCGGTATTTTCTGAATTTTTTTACCACACTGGAGGCAAAAATACCGAACTGTCCAGTTCAATACCGGACACCTGGCAACCCTACGAACGTGCGAGGGCAGGAACGAGGGGTGAGAAAACAAGAGGGTGGGGGGCGGGGTGGGGTCTTGTCATGCGGCTGGGCTCACATCCAGCGTGTCCATGTCTTTCAGGTGCTCGTCAGCCGTGAGGCCGGAGCCATGGAGACTGTGGCTCTCTACGTGCTTGTTTCTGGTGTGATACAGAACTGCTACTTGGGGAGCAGCCAGGGCCGTGCGGAGCTGGGTAAGTGATGGGGAAGCTCCTGCCCCTTGGAGCTCTCACAACGCTGCAGCCTGCGGCCTGCCATGGCCGTAATCAAGTCCCTGGAGGAGGCCGGATGGGTCCGCTGAGACAGACGCTTCCCCACTTGGCAGCAGGAGGCAGCTGGGCTGGCTGAGGTTGGCGTTCCACTGGGCCATGCTCTGCCCGGGGGAAATGGGGCCATGCTGAGGTAGCACAGGGTGTGCGCCAGGTGCAGAGGCCCAGGCAGCACCTCCCAGGCCTGCCCACTGCCAGCATAGCCAATGCACCTTGTGCTTTGCAGCTCAGCCGGGCCGATGCCAGAGGAGAGGGCCAGTCTGCCTAGGCCCCCCCAGCAAAGCAAGCATGGCAGCTCACATGAGGGGAGCCGGGGCCCCACCGCAGCCTGGCCCACACTCGGGAGCCTGAGTGTGTCGTGGGTGCCACGAGCATCCTCCTGCCCAGCATCCTCCAGGCCACAGGTGCTGCCCACCTCCCCCCGCCTCCTCCTGAGCCACATCCCCATGTGCTGGAGGCATCAGCCCTCAGCTCCTTCAGGGCTTGTGGGACGTAAGCCTCCTGCTGGCCCGAGCGTGTCTGGGCCTCGCTTACCTCTTCCCAATGTTCCCGCTACGGGGTTTTCCATCCATGTGCGGAATACATTTTGTTCGGTGCGCTGAGCATGTGCAGATGGGCACTGCCAATAGAAACATACGCTGCCAGCTGTGGGCGCCCTGCTGATCAGCTGGGCAGCACCTGACTCTCTCCTGCATGGCTGCCCAAGCGCTCAGCTTCCAGGGAACACTGCCTCCTCCCCTTGGAGACACTGTCAGGAGCAGCTGCTCTCCCTCCCCC